GGCATCCAACTGGTGGCCCTCCAGCTGTTGTGGAACTACAAGTCCCATGAGGCATTGCAAGATTGACAGTAACAAGCATGACACCCACCGGCAGAGGCATGATGGGACTTGTAGTTCAACAGCTGGAGGGCCACCAGTTGGACACCCTCTAAGCAGCAGTCTCCTTGCTAGCGGTGTTGTCGTACGGCCATGCAGGGAGGAGGGGAGCCCCCCCCCCCCAACCCCACAGCTAGACGTAGTACAGGTGAAGACGGGACAAAAGGACGACATGTTCCCCCCACCACCACCGGGGAACAGGACACATTACATCGGAGAGACGTCAACCCAACCAGTGTTCCATGGACGGTGACCATGTAGGAGGTGCGTCCCGGAAACGTTGACATTGTTTGAGGATTCATCTCCCCCTCCCCCCGCTATTCCCGGCAATCACTGCCTGCCAAACCCCAGTGACCCCTCTGTGACATGACACCCGCAGATCATCTACAGGTGTCACCGAGTCAATGTAACCATGTATATATCTCCATTTACCAGTTTGTGGTTTTTATCTCGCTCATCTGTAGGGGGGGGGGGGGGCTGTGCTCCCTTCCCCCCCAGTCTCAGAGTACATCCACTCTGATGGGGGCCAATTGATGTAAGGGGGCACTCTGATGGGGGCAGCCTAAAGCTATACGAAGTACATTTAAATGTCCCCATCAGGTTCCCCCTTACATCAAGTGCCCTCTTGCATCAATTGGCCCCATCAGAGGGCCCCCACTCTGGATGAAGGAGCACAGGAGGCACCTTTGGACAGCAGCATTGTCAGCCTGGTGGGGGGAGTTCAGCCTAAAGCTATACGAAGTCTCTTGGTGACCAAACCTGCCCGCAGTGAGTATGAAATACCCATTCTGGTCCATAGGGGGAGCTCTAGTGGTGAAGGCTGTGGATAGGTCAGGGTACAGCCCTGTAGTGGGGCATTCTTGCCTTGCTGGAGACACTAGGAGACTTCGAAGGCCAGGAAATGCCTCAGCCAACCAGACTCCACCCACCACGCAAATAATCACTCACGGGCAGACTGGCGCTTTAAATTCGGTCACCAAAGGCCCCCCCGTGTATTCAGACAACCGTACCGATATCACGTCTTCTCGGGTCACCAGAACAAGAATTTTTATCAATTAAACTTTTATTAGAAGAAAATACAAGTAAATCATCGACAGTAGAACGTGGAATGGTTGGAATACGTGGCCCTCGCCTCCGGCGTCCTCAGACCCTCTTCAGGTGGCTCACAAACGCAGAGTGACAGGCGACCAGTATCCCACCGATCAGGTTCATGAACTCCTGGAAATTCAATTGTTTGTCCTGTTTCCCATCCGTGCTGCCGTCCACCGACTCCATCAACCGACGCACGATGTTTCGGGTCCTTCTGACTCTACAGGAGGCAACAGAAAACATGAATGGAGACGTGATTTGCGCTCTTTATGCTCCACCCCCCTCTGTGGAGATTTGATTCCCACGAGATCTATAGTCTATCTGCTTGAGGGACTGAAAGATCAATACTTTGTTCTGCCACTAGATGTCCTCAGTCTCAGCCAGGATCAGTGAACCCATATCATCCCGGACGAGCCCCCAACCTGTGACTGGACAGTGAAATGAGAAGCAGCACAGGGATGAGCTCTCCTCTGTCACTCTGCTCTCTCCTATCGGCATGCTTCTTGTGAGAACTTGAACTAAATGGCTCCTTGTACTGCTTCTCCCTCCCTCAGTCTAAGCTCTGCTGTAGAGGGACTGCAAGAGGATGATACCAGGTCACATTGAAGTACTTACACTTCTGGCATCTCCCCTTTTCTGGTTCCACCCCGTCATCAACATGCTAATGAGATTCTTAAATAAGGCATGTAATGGCAACTGGAAAATGTATTTAGGTACCAGTGATTTTATCATGCAATGGGGGCAGATCATGGCTGGTGGGAGGGGCCAGCAGGGTGCTGTGCATGGCATCCTGAAGACATCACAGCACCCCACCTCAGTACTCCTCTCAGGAGCCCTCAGCCCTGATGCAAGCAGTAGGAGGAGTTATGCAAAATGTCAAAGTCCCTTGGGGGAGTAGGGGTCAGTATGGAGGAGTAGGGGTCAGTATGGGTTGGGCAGGGTTCCTTTAAAAGATACCTTGGCAAATGTCTCCATCTACTGCTGGGGTGGTGCATTACACCCAGATTGTCAGATTTCCTCTTCTCAGTCGACCCAGAGAAAGAAAAAAAATCATGGAGCAAACCAAGGAGCCTATCCAGAAGATACTACAGGAGGTACATACGTCAGTGAAAGACTTGAGTTCCGTCTTCATAAATCCCTCGAACTCGGAGTAATCCATCTGGTCGCTCACGCCTTTCTTGCCGGCATAGTGTTGGAAGACCAGAATGATGCTTTCCATGGCAGTTTCAATGTCTGTTGGTTTGGTGGCGGTGACAGGGTTCTGGGGAAAGATACGGCAGATGTGCAGTCAAATGTTGGATTTCGATGCTCTGAGCCTCCAATGAAGGCCATAAAAAAGGCAGATATGGAGTCTATATACACTATATAGTCAAAAAGTATGTGACCCCCCCCCCCCCCCTCCAAATGAGTTAAGGTGTTCCCCGTGAAGGGTACTGAATACTACAGCATAGAAAGATATTGTAGTCCAGCCGTTCTCAACCAGGGTTCCTCTAGAGGTTTCTACGGGTTCCTCAAGCTGTGGCTGATTGACCTCCCATGTGGTGGTGCCTACATAGTTCCAGGAACAAACTTAGAGACAACTTCATGACCCCAATTATCTTTTTTTAAGCTGCCTTTTAGGGTTGCATTCTTACTACGGACAACCAGCAAAAGACAGTTTCGTAACGGACCTCCATTAAATTGGTTTTAGTAAGGGTACCCCAAGACCTGAAAATGCTAGGGGGTCCTCTAGAGCGGTGGTTGATCTATTTGACGGTACCGACATATTTCCAAGCCCAACACCACCTGGCTAAGCCAGCATCATGGCACCAAATTTTTTTTTAGCAGTCTGTAAGGGTTGCATTCTTCCTACTGACCACCAATATAAAAGGCAATTTTGCCATTGACCTCCAATAAGTTGGTTTTGGTAAGAGTTCCCCAACACCTGAAAATTTTAGGGGTTCCCCCTGGAGGAAAAAAAAAAAAAAAAAAAAAAAAAAAAAAAAAAAAAGGGTTGAGAAAAGCTGTTCTATAAGTTTATAAAATCTTTTCTGTTCCAGCAGTATGACTGGTGTCCAAAGCCAACTCCATAAAGACATGGATGACCAGTCTGGTGAGGAGGAACCCGAGTGTCCGGCACGGAGCCCCGACCTACTGAACACCCGACATGCCGATTGGAAGCCAGTTTGGTGGCAATGCTGGGACAAGGTCAACCATGCCCAGGGCAAAGATGGGAAACCGCGCCCTCCGTTGTGTAGATGCATAGCTCCCACCTTCTCCCAACCCCCAGTACACAAAGCCCCCCCCCCTCCGAAAGAACAGAAGTCCCCCCTCCCCAGGACAGAGCTCCCCCACCCGGTAGCACCCCTAATACACAGAGCTTCCCCCTCCTCCTGCACTCATCCAGTGCACAGAGCTCCCACCACCTCCTAGCCACCAAGTACACAGAGCACCCCCCCCCCCACAAACACACACACACCTCCTAGCCCCCCAATACAGAGCTCTACCCCACCTCCTAGCCCCAAAATACGGTGCCCCCACCTCCCAGCCCCCCCCCCCCCATACACAGCACTCCCCACCATTATTCAGAGCTCCCCCACCTCCTAACCCCCCCAATACACAGTTCCCCCACCACTTAGCTACTCCAATACACAGAGTTCCCCCCTCCTCCCCACAGCCACCCAGTGCTTAGAGCTTCCCCCCAGCCCCCCCCCCCCCCCCCTCAATACACAGAGCTCCCCCACCAACACACACACACACTTAGACCTCCCAATACACAGCTGTTCCCCACCTCAGTCCCCCCCCCCCCCCCTTACACAGACCTCCAATTTCCTATCCCCAATACACAGAGCTGCCCCCCCCCCCCCCCCCCCCCCCCCCCAATTCACAGAGCTCCCCTACCTCCTAGCCCTCCCCAATACACAGAGCTATTCCCACCAATACACAGAGCTCCCCCACTCTTAGCCCCCCCAATACACAGCTATTCCCCACCTCCTAGTCCGCCCCACATACAGAGCTCCCATCTCCCCCATCAATTCACAGAACTCCCCTACCTCCTAGCCCCCTGTAAATACACCGAGCTCCCTCCCACCTCCTAGCACCCCCCCTTCCCACAATTCACAGCTCTGCCCACCTCCTAGCCCCCCAATACACATAGCTCCCCCACCCTCTTAACCCCCCCAAAATACATAGCCCCCCCACCTCTATACTGAAGAGTCCGCGTCACGTGAACAGAACTGGCACAGGAAGCTGCTTCTGCGTTTACAAATGACAGCGGCCAGTGGGGGGGGCAGAGGGTTGGTGACTGAGGTGGCCACTGAGCTCTGGATGGGGGAAAAACAAAACAAACAAAACAAACTCTGCTGCCAGGAGTGACACTGCAATCACTCCCGTCAGCAAGAGGCAAGCTCCTGAGACCTCCAAATACACACCCAGCCAGCACCTGGACACCCCCCCCCCCCCCCCCCCCCCCTCATCCTGGCCCTGTGTGGAGGAACTGGAGTTCTTATCTTCAGCCCAAACACCTTTGGGTGGACCTGCATGCCCCCTTTTTTTGGCTAGGAAGGCCCTCTTTCCTTGCATATTCTACATGGATATCTCCAGAAGAGAAGCTGGTAAGTATCTCCCAATAAATGGTTAAACTGCAAGGAGAAGATCCTCTTAAACCTATTTCTGCCTTAAAATTGCCTTCTGCTTTCATTTTTCATTCCAGGTGCGGTCTGTCCCTTTAAAATCCTCCCCGCCGTACACTCTGGCTGTTGACTTTTGCAGCGTCTCTCATCACACATCCGGCATGATCTGCCAAATCTACAAACCAACCAGGATGATTCATCTCATCAACACACAAATGCTGCTAAGCAACAAGTTTGCCCGTCGGGGAGGCAGAGGCGGGAAAGCTCAGATAGGTTTGGAGGGATAGGCGAGGAAGATACCTTTTGCTTTGGTGGGCACTTCATCAAGGCTTCATGGCAGGCCACCATCATCCCACCGATGAGGTTGAGAAACTCTTGAAAGTCAATCTCTCCGTCCTTCTTCCCATCGACCCCACCGTCTACAGACTTCATTATCTTCTGTAGGATCTGCGGGTCCTTCTGGTTCTTGGGGAGAAAAAACAAAAAAAACGTCAATTATGAACTCTTATCGGCAAGGTAGACTTGTTCTAGGTGAGGATCCCAAGATCCTTGTAGACCTTTATTAAATATGGTGCAAGCCACATTGGCAAGAAAGACGCATGGTGCCGAATATATTTTTATGAACCAGCACCACTTGTTAGTGGCTTCCCGGACTTCTGACCATATATTATATTCTTTTACTAGAAGAACCCCCAAGGACTTTACGTGTTCTCCGAAAGCCAACCTTTTTTTTTTTTTTTTTTTTCCTAAAACAATTGTCGGTTTAAACCGGCTTAGACACCAAACCAAGAAAAAACTCCTTTCACTAAAAATGCCTTCAAACCAGTTAAACTGCCCCTCCCCTTCCTCCAGACTTGTTACAGTCATCCTACCGCTTAAGCCATTGTTCTACCACCATCAATGAGATCTTTCTTCTGGAAAAATCCATCCACCCAACCCATTCATTGAAGTACCCCTCAGTCCTACAGTCTGAAGAAAGAGGTGCTCTTCCTGACAACTGGAACATCCCCAGAATTCAATTTTAGCAGTTGCCCAGACTGACACCTTCTGGTGGAGGACAGAAGAAGTGACAATGCTACATACAAGTCCTTTTCAAGGGACCTTTACAAGTGCACAGTCTGCTTATGAAGACCCTCTTCTTCCAAGCCAAAGTTTGAATGACTTCTATTCCAACTACACTAGTTTTTACAAAGAGGAGGAGTCTTTGGTGGTGTGGTCACATTGTCCATACTTATTCAGCATGGTGAAACCCAAGACCACCCTTACCAGGCGTGTGGTTTTTTTTTTTGGGTGACTTGGTGGTCATACGTTCTTGTTTTAGCTTTGACCTTCTGATCCACCAGTGGTTGATTTTGGCTTCCTTAAGGCAAGGAGCCAAATGGTATGGACTGGATACTCCTAAGCAGTGCCGGGACATGTTCATCCAGGGCAAAGAGGCCAAAATGTCCCCCATAGAGGATCCCATGCCCAGCTGTCACTTGTCAAAATCACTGCGCAGCTCCTGATCGGTCAGTCAGGTTTTGCATTGACCTGGTTTTAGTAGTCCCACCACAAGAGGCAGGAAGGAGGAGAGAGAACAGTCTACACCTCCTCCTGGCTCTCTCCTCGCCACTCCCAGGGAGTAGTGATGCCACCGTCACCACTCTTGTAACTGATGGAATTCCCCCCCCCCCCCCCCCTCCCATCTCTACAGTAGACCATCATGCCCATGCAAGATACCCCTTCCACCCACCCCTTGTCCCAGCCCTGCTCCCAAGTAGCTACTCTCATGTGACCAACTGGCTACAACGGATTAAAGCCAAGCTTCCAGTATGCCGTGGGCAGGCAGGTTACCCTTAGGCAAACAGGAGACACATTGAAGCAGTGAGAAGTTATGGATTCTAGTAGTAGATCCAGGAGACCAAAACCGGGACCTCTTAGTAGGTATGGGCCCAGCGCATGTAGAGAACTTACAATTATCTTTGGTGACACCACCTACACGCACCGGGTTCTTGTGCTTCACAACCAACACGTATCTCTAGACAATAGGAGCCAAAGCTGAAGGAACAAATGATCCACCACCTGTAGGAACAGAGGATCACCTGCTTCCTCGGGAAGGTGGTTACCAACAGATGGAAGCTGCACATTTTGGAGGTCGTCATTCTGCCCCACTGTAGAACTCTTCCAGTCATCAGACGAGGCACCGGACACACTGGCAGACAAGGTAATAGACCGAAAAAAAAGACTCAACACATTGACCGCTCACCTTGGTGAAGGAGCCCAGCTCTGTGGTCATGAACTGCTCAAACTCCTTGAAGTTCATGGAGGTGGCATTGCCTTCCTTGCCGGCGTACCTCTGGAAGATCGTAATGATCTTCTCCATGGATCGCTCGATTTCTGTGGGGGTACTCTGCTTCATCTGAGCCTGGAAGAAAAAAAATAAAGAAATTTTGAGATGCATCAGCATGAACAAGGGGAACATGTACATACATCATCCCTGCACCCATTACGCAAGGTTCCTACCATCCCTACGCCAAGTAACCAGGTCTGTACACCCGCTGTGCCCATTATGGGAGATTCCCACCATACCTGTGCCGAGTTCCCACCATCCCTGGGCTGAGTTCCCGGGTCTGTACATCCGCTGTACCCATTATGAGGTGTTCCCACCATCCCTGTGTTGCATTCCACCGCTCTGTACACTCGCTGTGCCCAGTATGAGAGGTTCCTACCATCCCTGTACTGAGATCCCGGGTCTGTACACCCACTGTGCCCATTATGAGGGGTTCCCACCATCCCTGTGCCGAGTTCCCCGGGTCTGTACGCCCGCTGTGCCCATTATGAGGGGTTCCTACCATCCCTGTGCTGAGTTCCTGGGTCTGTACACCCACTGTGCCCATTATGAGTGGTTCCCGCCATCCCTGGGCTGAGTTCCTGGGTCTGTACACCCACTGTGCCCATTATGAGTGGTTCCCGCCATCCCTGGGCTGAGTTCCCAGGTCTGTACCCCCGCTGTGCCCATTATGAGGGGTTCCCACCATCCCTGGGCTGAGATCCCGGGTCTGTACACCCACTGTGCCCATTATGAGGGGTTCCCACCATACCTGTGCTGAGTTCTGGGTCCGTATGTCCACTGTGCCCATTATGAGGGGTTCCCGCCATCCCTGTGCCGAGTTCCTGGGTCTGTACGCCCACTGTGCCAATGAGGGGTTCCCACCATCCCTGTGCTGAGTTCCCAGGTCTGTACACCCACTGTGCCCATTATGAGGGGTTCCCCGTGGGGGCCCCCCCATAGAAATCCCATCAAGACACACCCCCCCCCCCCCCTTGTAAAGATGCAGAACAGTTCTGTTCCTCAAGCCATCATACAATATATCCGTTCATCTCACCCAAGACATATTTGCCGATCGCCGTTACTGCCGGCATAAATGACTATGTAGCCAGGTAGCTTAGGACCCCGCTTGTGCTACTGGGCTCCATACCGGTCACATGGTACGTTGTGGTCGGGTTACAGCTTTGTTTACAGGTTGACAAAATAGAACAGATTTTTTTTCTATTGGCAAACCGCATAATGGAGAAATGATGTATTCCACGGCAACGGGTCCAATATTTATATCATTTGCAGACGAGTATCTCGGGGGTTTTAGCTTTTTTTTTTTTTTTGCAGGACAAGGATTGATGAATTATGGAAGGGATTGGACTGGACGGGAGGGTGGATTGATGGTAATTAATGATGAAATGGATTTATTGATGATGGGGTGATGGAGTGGAATGATAAATATGGTGGACTGATGGATGGAATGGAATCATGAGGATGATGATGGGTTGGGTGGGATTGGATGGGATGGAATGATGATGGGTTGGATGGGATTGGACTGGATGGGATGGAATGATGGGTTGGATGGGATTGGACTGATGATGGGTTGGAACTGGAACTGCATGGGATGGAATGATGGGTTGGATGGGATGGAACGATGGGTTGGATGGGATTGCGCTGGATGGGATGGAATGATGATGGGATTGCACTGGATGGGATGGAATGATGATGGGTTGGATGGGATTGGACTGGTTGGGATGGAATGATGATGGGTTGGATGGGATGGAATGATGGGTTGGATGGGATTGGACTGGATTGGATGGATGATGGTTGGGTGGGATGGGACGGAATGATGGGTTGGATGGGATTGAATGATGAAAGGATGGACTGGATAACTGTAATTGATGGGATGGGATCAGGGCTGGACTGACAACTCATGGGGCCCCAGGGTAATAGGGGGATCATGGGGCCCCATGTCCTCTCCCACACTCAAAAAAAGCCTATGAAAAAAAAAAAAAAAAAAAAAAAAAAAAAAAAAAAAAGTGTACCAGGGGCATCTCATGGGGCCCCCTACTGACCCTGGGCCCTCGGGTAGTGTCCGAGTGCTCGAATGGTCAGTCCACCCCTGGATGGGATGATGAATGGAATGGATTAAACATGGTGGACTGATGGATAGGATTGAATGGAATTGATGATGGGATGGAATAATGATGGGTTGGGTGAGGATGATGGGTTGGATGGGATTGAATAATGAAAGGATGGAATGGATAACTAATCGATGATGGGATGGGTAGGGTGGATGGGACGGAAGTTTGGATGACTGAATGGAATGGGTTGGAAAGAAGGATGTAGGATGATGACAGTTTGGTGTTCTTGTGACTTTATACATGATGTATGTATGTATGTATGTATGTATGTATGATGAAATTGATGGGATGGATGAGATTGAATGATGAAAAGGAAGGAACGATGGATGATGGGATGGATGATGGAGGAATGGAATAATGGATAATGGAATTAATGATGGGATTGGAATGGATGATGGGGGATGGGATAGGTCATTGCTGGTGGGATGAATGGATGAAAGGATGCAATAATGGATCATGGTAATTGGGATGGAATGATCAATAATTGAATGAATGATGGGATTGGTCTCAGGCGAATGGGATGTGGTCTCAAGCGATGATGGCTGGGATGGGATGTGGTCTCAGGCGACGGGATGGGATGGGTCTGGCGACGGGATGGGATGGGTCTCAGGCGACGGGATGGGATGTGGTCTCAGGCGATGGGATGTGGTCTCAGGCGACGGGATGGGATGTGGTCTCAGGCGACGGGATGGGATGTGGTCTCAGGCGACGGGATGGGATGGGTCTCAGGCGACGGATGGGATGTGGTCTCAGGCGACGGGATGGGATGGGTCTCAGGCGACGGGATGGGATGGTCTCAGGCGACGGGATGGGATGTGGTCTCAGGGATGGGATGGGATGGGTCTCAGGCGACGGGATGGGATGTGGATATGGGATGTGGTCTCAGGCGACGGGGGATGGGATGGGATGTGGTGGTCTCAGGCGACGGGATGGGATGTGGTCTCAGGCGACGGGATGGGATGTGGTCTCAGGCGACGGGATGGGATGTGGTCTCAGGCGGGATGGGGTGGTCTCAGGCGACGGGATGGTGTGGTCTCAGGCGACGGGATGGGATGTGGTCTCAGGCGACGGGATGGGATGGGTCTCAGGCGATGGATGGTCTCAGGCGACGGGATGGGATGGGATATGGGTCTCAGGCGACGGGATGGGATGGGACGGGATGGGATGTGGTCTCAGGCGACGGGATGGTCTCAGGCGACGGGATGGGATATGGTCTCAGGCGACGGGATGGGATATGGTCTCAGGCGACGGGATGGGATATGGTCTCAGGCGACGGGATGGGATGGTCTCAGGCGACGGGATGGGATGGTCTCAGGCGACGGGATGGGATATGGTCTCAGGCGACGGATGGGATATGGTCTCAGGCGATATGGGATATGGTCTCAGGCGACGGGATGGGATATGGTCTCAGGCGACGGATGGGATATGGGATATGGTCTCAGGCGACGGGATGGGATATGGTCTCAGGGATGGGATGGTCTCAGGCGACGGGATGGGATATGGTCTCAGGCGACGGGATGGGATATGGTCTCAGGCGACGGGATGGGATATGGTCTCAGGCGACGGGATGGGATATGGTCTCAGGCGACGGGATGGGATATGGTCTCAGGCGATGGGATATGGTCTCAGGCGATGGGATGGGATGGATGATGATGGGATAGAATTTTTTGATAGAATTGAAGGACGAAAGGATGGAATAATGGATCATGGTCATTGATAATGGGTGGAATTGAATGGGTAGGATGAATGGGATGAAATGGAATTATGGATGATGGGTCAGAACCGGTTGGGGAAGGAGGATGGATGACCATTGATGACAGTTGGCGTTACCAATTGTGCCTTTGCACGTAGAACATTGATGCGCCATCGACGAGAGGACATGTGTGGTTACAATAACAAGGTCTTCCCCAAAATTTAGGGTGGCTAAACGCTCCCCCTTATCCCAAGGTCTCGAAGTCTGGAGTGGGGAGACAGATGTGGAAGGCAGCGAAGGGAAAGTTCTGGTTTTACGGCACGGCTGCCTTCATACCTCTGCATGCTCTCTGGATTCCAGAATGTCAGGTTCTATGTACACGTGAAGACGTGCCCAAGGTGCTAACAGACAGACTCGTCCCTGCAGATGTTTGGGGTGGGCGTTGGCCGGAAGTGGGAAAGCCATGACCGCCGTGTTAGAAAACACACAAAAGCAATAAATGGAATTTCAGCACAGGGAGAGTCTTCAGCCCAGTCCATACACTATACTCTACCTGCACCCAGTTCTACAAACCCACGGGGCCTCAGACTGTTCTAGGGCTTTCCAAACCTGGCCACCAAAGGCCCCTCACAGGACCTCCAGGAGTGAAGGAGTTGGCTTCATACATGAGAGAATCTGTCACCCGTGCCGCAAGGTTGAGCTTCGCCCTGGAAGCAGCACCATTTCTGGAAGCCCCAGGCTTGTAGCCCACTTCAACATCTGGGATATTATTGGCTCATCAATAAAATGCCCTTCATTTGGCAGTTGACCTTCTACTGGGCACTGCGTTACAAATAAAGGGTCATGCACCCCTTCAGGAATGTTAGGGTGTTCCGAGCCCATGCAATTAGGTCAATGGACCCTAAAGGGTTACAAAAGGAAGAAAAACTAAAATATTCAACAGCAACGTCTCCTGATCTCTACACACCAAAGGGGCCCGGCAGACATGTTTTTCCTTCTGTGGAACGTAGAGGTCTCCTGGTGGCCTGTAAGGTCTCAGTCCTCTCACGGTCCTCCATGCTGCATGGTCCTCTATCGATGGGCCACCAAACTTCGGCCCTGAGGCTGGATGTAGGCCCTTTGCTTGCCTTCATTCAGCCCTTGGGGCACGGTTCCTCTCACTGATACCAGGACTTTAGTCCTCCCACTGACACCAATGGTGGGGTGTTAGCCCCCTTCCTGATGACAACGATGGGGCGCTAGTCTCCCCCCCCCACTGAACGACC